ATTTCTTAACTTGCTTTATAAGGCATACAGAAGTTTATTTTATTATTTCTCTCAACTGTATACTTACATCTCTTCACTTTTTATTGGTATGATATTTTCTAAAATATGAAATTATATGTATAATATTTTAAAAGATATAAAATATTTATATCGATAAATTTCTGAGTCGACTGAGGGCCTTGAAAAGATGTTTGTAATACCCATCATAAAAAATTAAGGGTTTAGATTTCCTAAAATGCCAGACCAATTAGAGATCAATAGGAGAAAGAGTCCAAAGAAAATGGAATAAGTGCTGACTACCTAAGAAAATATCTGAGGATAAGAGCTAAATCATTCAAAAATTTTAGAGGGCACTGTAGCAGAAATGTAGGTACAAATTTTAGGGAAATACTTCTTTTTTTTTTTTTTTGGTAACAGCAGATCTGGAACAATCTAAGTATAGCTTTCACACTAGACAAATTAAATTATTTGTTACATACACTCATATGAATATTACTAAAGAATAATGTAGGTTTTAGTACATTGTGAGGAAAGATGTCAAATCTATATTAAGTGAAAATAGGTAAAGATGAATATCACTATTCCTACTGGTAAATATATATGTGTATATATATATATATATATACACACATACATACATATATATAGGCAAGGCAAGTGTTAGTCGCTGAGTTGTATCCGACTCTTTGCGACCCCATGGCCTGTAGCTCTCCAGGCTCCTCTGTCAATGGAATTATCTGGACAAGAATATTGAAGTGAGTAGCCATTTTCTTCCGCAGAGGATCTTCCCAACCTAGGGGTCAAACCCAGGTCTCTTGCATTGCAGGCAGATTCTTGACCATCTGAGCCACCAGGGAAGCCACATATACATATACAGATATATATATACACACATTCATACATATACCTACACACACACCCATACACATAAATTTATGTTTAATAGTTAGACAATATTCTGTCTTCTGTAAAGACAGAAGATAAGAGTGCTTATGTAGGAAAAACATAAAGCTAATTATCATTCATTATATATATATAGTTTTGTTCCATTCAAATTTTTAGCAATTTGTACTAGCTATTTTTTTCATTACATCAAGAATGAAATTATAATCATAGTGTCTTCAGAATTGTTTAATAAAAAAGATGAAAGAGTAGAGCGATGAAAATTGATGACAGCACTTACAGTAAATGAGAAATCTGTTAAAGGTGGTAAAGTTAAAAATTGGCCATTGATCCTAAGGACTACATATTTTGTATAACATGTACCCATACAAAATCCATTACCTTTCCTATATTTATGCATAATACAACAAATGTCTCAGAAAGTTATCAGTTGGAACTAGGACAGCATCTCTAATTATCAGAATATATTTCTAGTTCTGTGTTTTGCATTTGTTTCTGAGAGAAGAATTGAGGCCAAGGAACTGGTCTTATTTATCTCAAATCCATAGAGCCTAACACTTCGCCTACACTGAGAAAGCACTTGCGTGTGCCTGCTCAATCACTTCGGAGAAGGCAATGGCACCCCACTCCAGTACTCTTGCCTGGAAAATCCCACGGACAGAGGAACCTGTCCCCCTGTCAGTCCATGGGGTTGCCAAGAGTCGGACACGACTGAATGATCTTACTTCCACTTTTCACTTTCATGCATTGGAGAAGGAAATGGCAACCCACTCCAGTGTTCTTGCCTAGAGAATCCCAGGGATGGGGGAGCCTGGTGGGCTGCCGTCCATGGGGTCGCACAGAGTCGGACACAGCTGAAGCGACTTAGCTTCAGCAGCAGCAGCTCAATCACTTCAGTCCTATCCAACTCTGTTAATTCTATGGACTATAGCCCACGAGGCTCCTCTGTCCTCGGGATTTCCCAGGTAAGAACACTGAAGTGGGTTGGCATGCCATCCTCCAGGGGATCTTCCTCACCCAGGGATCAAACCCATGTCTCCTGCATTGCTGGTGGATTCTTTACTACTGAGCAACCAGGGAAACACCCAGGAATGTTTATTGGTTGCTATGTTATTTATTGTTAAATCAACACAGTGTAAATTCAAAGTCATATGTAAAGCTAAGGATTTTTAAAGTGCTTTTTTTAAAAAAATCTTAGTTCTGTATAACAATGTGTCTATAAAAACCAGTGTTATGGACTGAACTGTGTTCCTCTTTTATTAAAACACTGAAGTCTGACAGTATTTGAAGGTAGATCTTTTAAAGGCAATTAATGTAAATGAGATCATAAGAGTGGGCCCTAATCCAATATGACAGATCACCTTATAAGAATAAGAGACCCTAGGATATACATATGGGCTTCCCAAATGGCACTAGTGGAAAAGAACCTGTGTGCCAATGCAGGAGACATGAGACAAGTTCAATCTGGTCAGGAAGATCCCCTGGAGAAGGACATGGCAACCCACTTCAGTATTCTTGCCTGGAGAGTCTCATGGGCAAAGGAGCCTGATGAGCTACAGGCCATAAGGTTACAAAGAGTAGGACGCGACTGAAGAGACTTAGCAGGCACGCAGGACGTGCATATACAGAGGAAAGACCATGAGGGGACAAAGCAAGAAAGTGGGCATCCGCAAGCTGTTCAGATAGGCCTTAAGGAAAACCAGCCCTGACAAAACTTTGGTCTTGGACTTCTAGCTTGCCAAACTGAGAGAAAATAAATTTCTGCTTATAATGCCACCCAGTCTTTTAAATTTAGTTATAACAGCCCTAGCAAACTACTGCATTAAGGAAGTTAAATTAGTTAAGATTTCTAATACCCAATATGATATTTGTTAGTTCATGTTTCTTCATGACTCTCAAATTGTATTTGGAGTGGTAATAAATGCTGGGGAGAGTGTGGGGAAATGGGTACACTCCTACACTGTTCATGGGAATGTAAGTTGATAGAGTCACTATGGAAAACAGTAGGAAATTTCCTCTAAAACATAAAATTAAAATTACCATAGGATTCAACAATCCTATCCATGGACATATGGGAAAAAACTATAATTCAAAAAGATACATGCACCCTTATGTTCCCAGCAGCAATATTCACAGTAGTCAAAACATGGAAACAGCCTAAATGCCCATCAACAGATGAATAGATCAAGAAGCTATAACACACACACACATATATATATATATATAAAACACATATATAACACTTATAACACATGTATACAACAGAATGCTACTCAGTCATAGAAGAAAATGAAATAATTCCATTTGCAGCAACAAGGAAGCAACTAGAGATTATCATGGTCAAGAAGCAACGCTTAGAACTGGACATGGAACAATGGACTGGTTTCAAATTGGGAAAGGAGTACGTCAAGTCTGTATATTGTCACCCTGTTTATTTAATTTCTATGCAGAGTACATCATGCGAAATGCCTGGCTGGATGAAGCACAAGCTGGAATCAAGATTTCCAGGAGAAATATTAATAACCTCAGATATGCAGATGACACCACCCTTATGGCAGAAAGTGAAGAGGAACTGAAGAGCCTCTTGATGAAAGTGAGAGAGGAGAGTGAAAAAACTGGCTTAAAACTCAACATTCAAAAAATGAAAATCATGGCATCCAGTTCCATCACTTCATGGCAAATAGATGGGGAAACCATGGAAACAGTGACTGACTTTATTTTCTTGGGTTCCAAAGTCACTGCAGATGGTGACTGAAGCCTTGAAATTTGGAGAAATTTGATGTTGGAGAAGACTCTTGCAAGTCTCATGGACAGCAAGGAGATCAAACCAGGACTGATGCTAAGGCTGAAGCATCAATACTTTGGCCACCTGATGTGAAGAACTGACCCATTGGAAAAGACCCTGAAGCTGGGAAAGATTGAAGGTAGGAGGAGAAGGGGACGACAGAAGATGAGATACTGGGATGGTGTTTCCAGCTAGATGGACATGGGTTTGAGCAGGCTCTGGGAGTTGGTTATGGACAGGGAAACCTGGCGTACTGCGGTCCATGGGGTCACAGAGTCAGACACAACTGAGCAACTGAACTGAACTGAACTGATACATATGTATAACTCAATCACTATGTTATATCACAGAAATTATTGCATTTTAAATCAACTATGCTTCAATTAAAAACAAAAAAAAACAGTGTTTGGAGTGAAAGCCAGCTTCAGTGATGCAGTCAGATAAGAGCTAGACATTTGAAAATTGCAAAGCAAAACCGTTTTTTATTAGAAAAAGCAGGTGATTAAAAATAGAATGTACATAACTAGTGAAGTGAAAAATATACTGTTTTTAACATCTTGAGTTATAAACTCTTTCAAGTTTCTGCTTAATTTTTCAGTTTTCTATATTATACTTATCCAAAACTATAAAGCAAACTAGGAAACTTCTTAGTATGATCCATTTTGATGAAACAGTTCTCATAGGACTTACTGAAGTTTCATCCCAAATTTATGAGAGATAAGAATACATGGTACTCTGGTCCAAAAGGAGGATGGTTTAAATTTTAAATCTAATATTCCATGATTTTCAAAATTTGTAGAACAAAATTCAGACAAAGTAAGTTATATACCAAATTTAATACCACTGTTAACATGGGTCAGGTTCCAGACTATTACTAAAATCAGGCAAGGAGACTATCTTCCTCTTTTAACAAACATTGCACTCATTTAACCACTAAGAAATCAAACATCTCCTCTATGAACACTCAGTGTATTAGACTTATTTGTGATATCCTGCATCTGACAAAAATACATATTCCATTGGATTGACATTTATTAGCATGTTTTATATTTCATTTTGTTTTGGTAACAATCTTTTAAGTATTGAAGCATCCTAATAAATAGAGGACAGTAAAGAAAGAGGAACCATGGCAAGAAATTTCTTGCCTCCCTTCCCCAATTAGTTATTGAACCACAGTTCCTTGATATCAATTGTGGAGCTTTTGTGAAAGTGAAAGTTTTAAAAATAGATTCCTTTCCTCTTCCTAGACCTTCCTGAAACCGCCTCAACATCTTCTGATAATTACTTTAGAATGAAAAGCAGAGTCTCTTACCTAATACTTCACTGTAAAACTGGTCCCAAAGCTGAGGGTCATATTGTTGGAGCCAGAAGTCAAAGAAAATGGTTAACATTAGATTTTTTACCCTTTGCAGAAAGGTCATTTTGTCTGGTAATCCTGCCATGACAACAGGCACGTAGGAAGGTGGAGATGGAAGTTGCCCACAGTATTTCTCCATTGTACTACCCAGGGAGAGTCTTAATGTATACACAAAAGGAATTCCCAGAATCTCAGCAATCAGCTCACCACAGGGCGTCACAGGGTCTATAACCATAACTTTATAGTTGGTGTCCTGGAGTTTCTTCATGATTGTCTGGTTGTAGACTACACTCTCACAGATAAGTTTTAAATCTGCACTTATTTGAAGAAAAAAATCTTGAAGTTTCTTTGCTGATTGCCAGGGTGACAATGTTGGCATGACGTTAACAGATAGATCTAAAAATTCGTTTAGATTTTTTTCAGCAATCTCTTTGTCCTGCGGCACTGAGAACATCTCAAAGTTCAGTGTGGAAGGCTTGTTGTTGTCAATGATAAAATTCTGTGATGACACCAACACAGTCACTTCATGGCCTCTTTCCGTGAGTTTCTCCAGAATAACCTTTAGATTGAGCCAGTGGCTCATGTCACAGGGCCACACCAGGATCTTCTCACAGAATCCACAGCCAGTGTAACAGAACTGCAGCAGTAGAATTGCTGAAACCCATTTCTTGGACATCATGATAGCAGCTCCCTCACACACTGCTCTGCAAATGCTGAATGCTTGTTGGGCACAAAATTGAAGTGGCAATTTAGACATCGATCAAGTTAAAAATTAATTTCTGGAGTTAGGAAACTTACATGCAGAGAACTTTGCCAGTTGTTAACTGGGCATGATATTTATTCAGGAGAAGATAGGAAATATTCATATATTTTTGAGGAAATGATTGCAACCTTCTAGGAGTTTTAAAAATAGATTAAAATAGAAAAAAATAATGTTTTATTGACATTTTTAAAAAATGATAGAACCCATTTAAATATATCTAGCAAATAATATGGTACATCTCATGGAACATGATGATTAATAATTTGGGGAAACATGAAAATATATGTCTTCTCATAAAGTTGGTCACATGCTAGCATGTAGATAAAACACATACATTGCCTAATATAGGAAGAATATGAATATACTAAATGTTGTACAAAGATACAGGATTTCAGGGTCTCAGAATATGCTCTCACTCTAATGTGAAGAAACCAGACAAAGCTTCAACACAGAGGGGACATTTCAGCTAAACTCAGAAGCAAAGAATACAGGAAGGATCTTAAAGTTGAATAGAAGAAAGGGATAAAAAGATGAATGATACGTAAGTCATGGTCATTTAAGTATACAGTTGTTAGTTCAGTATGTATGGAGCAGAGGCTAACACAGGACTGTGCAGAAAAGGGAAATATTAGTTAAAATAGGACAATTTGGAGAGCCTTAAATGCTGTACACTGGATTCAGTTTAATCTTCATAAAAAGATGTGTACTCAAATTTTCAGATCAGGTACAGAAAATGATCATATATGTCCTTTAATAAACCTAAACTGGCCTCTGAATATTATTTGAGTTGCAAAGAAAAAAAGCATACGTAAGTAGATAAAATTAAATTTTAAGACAGCAGGATTTGATCAGAGTATCAGGGAGAATATAATATTGGTTTGTGAATAGAGGGTCTAGAATGAGAGTCATGACTGCTGAGAAGTGAGGGGTGCTCAGTCATTAACAAGGGAGTGCTTGGTTTAGACTCTGAGCAATCAGAGAATGCTAAGAACTCTAGAAAAATCACGAAACTCTAAAGAAGTAGTAGTTAATGGAAAAATTTTTTGACCGACCATGTGTCATTAATGATTGAACATGTGTGTGTATCTCAAGAGAGGGGAAATATTTAGGAGCACAGATTTTGTGTCGCATCATCGATCTGTATTTCAGTCCAATTCCAATTTCTTTTCAAAACGTTTGATATTTCATGTCTTCAACAAGCAACTTTTCGCACTTACTTTATACTGGATTCTATACCATGCACAGGGTATAAAGAAACAAGTAAGATACGCTTCTAATTCAAAATGATCTCATAGATTATTGCAGAAAATAAATTATCACGATAATTAATACTTCTCCCTTATACTTGTACAAATATAAGGGAGATGGATCATAGAAGGTATAGATGAAATGAGGAAGGGCAAAGCTCATGAAGGAGGTTGCTTGGTGGGGGAAGATAATGATGAAATTGTTAAGTTAGCTAAGTCTTTAAGAGTCTACTTAGTAGGTTGAAAAGTATTACTTAAAAGTGAAAGAGAATGTTAATGTATCTGTGTTCTAAGAATTGTGACATAGCTATACCAAGGGTTATGTTCAGTTACAAAATAATATTCATTTCAATAATTTGAGAGAGATATATTGAAATTTCAATTTCCCTTGAGAGCTTTTCTGTTTTGCCAAAACAAAAACCCAGAGTAGGTTTGCTTAAAGATGCAAAGAATAATCTAGGATTAAGGATTGAGAGTTGTGTTGTGTTGCATAATTAGGCTTTGCATAAACTCTGCTAATGACTGGTAAAAAGCATAATCCAAAAGAGAATCAGAAAATAGAAAGCTACAACAGAACCATAAATTCACTAAGAGAAAACAGATAATGTTATAATCTGAGGATAAAAGTCATTTTACACAGGATAAATAGCCCCAAAGTGATTAAACAAAGATTGGTAAATGTATCTAATCACTACGATGAAGTTCATATGTTGTAAAAATGTTTAAATGAAGTCAAACAGAGAGCAGAGATATATAGTACAGGTTAGAAATTGACCTCAGTATACATGTTATTGGGCTTCCCTGGTAGCTCAGCTGGTAAAAAATCTGCCTGCAATACAGGAAAACTGGGCTCAATCCCTGGGTTTGATCCCTGGGTTGGGAAGATCCCCTGGAGGAAGGCATGACAACCCACTCCAGTATTCTTGCTTGAATAGAGAAATATCTCTAAGTTGTTTTATTATATGAGAAAACTAAGGGAGAGCTCAGATTTTGAAGAATGATTCATTTTCATAAATGTAAAAGTATAGACATATATTCACTTATATCCAACTGAAACATTTAAAATTCTGAATAAAATATAAAATTGCCCCATAGAAATTCATTTCTGATTTTCAAGAAAGTAAAAAGTCAGCAGACAGAATCCCTAAACAAAGTCAAGGCAGGAATTCTGATGTTCAATCTTGTTGTTTCTTTGTAGAACACACCATAGGTGCCAAGAGTGGAGAGAAGTAAAGTCTGAAGCCTTGCCAAGATCCTACACCATGTGTATGTTCATGTAATGCTAGATTCTCAAGATATGGCCTCCCTTTTACAAACAAATTCACTTACACAGAAGTTTACAGCAAGGATAATTGCTAGTTTTGACTTGCTGGTGTGGAGATGAAAAAGATCTTTTAGAATTCTTAACAGTCAATCTTCATATGGATTTCCAGCTCAAACTAGAAAAGCCTCTTTGAAGAAACTTTGAACCCAACTTCAAAGGTTTCCACTGATAAAATTTGAAGGTAAATAAGCACCTCCTTGTTAAAAGAAAACAAGGCTTCAGGACTGAGAACCAGCAAAAGCAGCAGAAGCCAGAAATATGAATTCAATGATTTAAAATATTATTGTATGAAATGAAAAATAAAATTATTTTTACAATAAAATTAAGGGTATGAAAGCAAAGTCTGAAAATATTGGTAAGAAACAAGAGATTAAAAAGAATAATTGTGAAAATTTGCCAAAGAAACAAAGTGAATTTCTGGAATTTAAGAATTCAATGAATCAGATTTAAGTTAATGAATAGATTGAAGAGTAGATTAAGCACAGCTGTACAAATAAACAGTGACCCAAAAGAGAAATCAAAAGATGTTATGTAGAATTAAGTTTTAAATAAAAAATGGAAATGATGATAGAATGTTAAAGATGCATGAAGAATAGACTAAGGCCTTTGAATCTAGTTATTGGTTTTGTCTACTCAGGACTTCGTCTTTCAAGTCTTTTTTGACTCTTTAGAGCTTGTGCATTTTTCATGCAGCCAGACTGCACAACTAAGCCCTAAATTTCTGTTTTTTTACCCAAATCTTCCAACTACTTAAAATTTTTAAAGTAGTCATTTTAAACATAAGCAATTCTAAATTAAGTCAAGATTTCTGTATATCCTTCAGGATTATTACTATGTTTTTCTAAAAGTGATTTTCTATTTCCATTACTCCTTCTGAATTATTCATTGGAATTTTATTGGAAAGGATTATAAAAATATGTGCCAACACTTGATTAGTATGATTTGCAGTCTCACAGTATCTCCCTTTAAGATGCTTGCTCATCACAAAGGGGAAAATAGGGAGCATCCTGGCAGATGCACTTGTAACTAAGTGACCAAAATATGGTCACTAGTAATAAACTGTCTATATGATGTACCTCTTATGCATCTCACTGTGAAGGACACAAGGTTACTTCTATAGTATTCTTACCCCGAACACATCATCTTTCTCTAATCACAAGAAAATACCAGAAAAAAAGTTGAGGGATATTCTAAAAATTAACTAGCCAGTGCTCTTTAGAAAAAAAAGACAGCCTGTGGGAACTGTCAGAAACTGAAGAGTAGGGAGACTGGACAAGTAAATGCAAGGAGGAAACTTGGATTGTTTACTGAAAAGAAAAAAGGGTATCAGCAGGATAATTGATAATTTTTCATAAGAATTTCTAGTTTTGATAATTTTATGATTATATAAAATATTGATCTTAAAAACCCAATTAAAAAATCAATGATTCCTTCTATATTTATTAATTAGAATTTAAATAATTTCCTACTATTCACTTATTTATACTTATATTGCTATAACTCAAAAATGTGTTTTTATACATTTAATTATAATCATTATTTATTTTATTGTTCAAATTGTCACAGATATTGGAAACTTTTTCATACATTGGTTTCTTCATCCTTTTGATATGGCCCCATCATTTTCAATTACTTGTTACTTTTTGAAACCACAAAATGTTGCAGGATCATCTACTATTTTCACTGTCCCAACCTTAGAACTGACCATTTCTTCAAAGAATGCTGGTTCATTTTATTAGAGAACGGCACTTAAAAATCAAGATGAGTATATTAGATGTGTTCATTGTTACTTGTGTTTTAGCCATATATAGGTAGATATAGTTCAACTTTATACAATATCAGCAACATCAATGGCAACTTAGAAACACACACATATATAATACTGACAATTTTAGAATTAGCAATAAGAAAAATAGCTAAAACAGTATGGATAATTCAATAAAACACTGTAATTCATGATTGCAGTGTAAATTTCTGT